TCCTGGGCTCCCTGGTTATACCCTCGCTCCTGCGCTCGCTGGGCCGCCTGTAGGTTCTCTTGAGCCAAGGCCCCCACCTGCGTGAGTCTCTCCTGAAGTCGGAGTACGTACTGCAGCAGCCCGACGGCGGAGGAGGGGGTCCGTTCCCAGGTCTCTCTAACCAGATCGAGGACGCCCCGAGGTCGTCTGCCGTACAGGAGCTCGAAGGGGGAAAATCGAGTGGAGGCCTGTGGCACCTCCCGCACCGCCATCAAGAGCAAGGGGATGAGCTGGTCCCAGTGCTTCATGTCCGGTGGCGGAAATCTTCTCAGCATCCCCTTCAGGGTGCGGTTGACCCGCTCTACCAGCCCGTCGGTTTGGGGGTGGTAGACGGAGGTCTGTAGTTTGTGAATACCCAGGAGGTCGCAGACCTGACGCAGCAACCGGGAGGTAAAGTTCGTTCCTTGGTCGGTCAGTAGTTCCCGAGGTAGCCCCACCCAGGCAAAAATCCTCACCAACTCATTCGCGATCGTGCGGGCACGGGTGTTTCGAAGGGGGACGGCCTCAGGGAACGTGGTTGCATAGTCCATGATCGTTAAAATATATCGAAATCCCGCCGCGCTCCGCGGAAAGGGCCCCACTATGTCCAAAGCGATCCTTTCGAAGGGGGTCCCTACCACGGGCAAAGGGACGAGGGGAGCCTTCGGCACCCCGGGGGCTGCGGCGAGCTGGCAGGCTGGACATGACTGGCAATAGTCTTTGACCTCTTTGTACACCCCGGGCCAGAAGAAGCGGGCCAAGACTCGGGCCAGGGTCTTCTCATGCCCGAGGTGCCCGGCGGCCGGAAGGTCGTGCGCCAACCTCAGCACGGTTCGTCGATGGACCCGGGGTACCAACAACTGGGCCTCTTCTTCCTGCGTCTGCGGGTTCCGCCCGACCCGATAGAGCCGGTCGGCTCGTAGCTCAAACCGGGGCCAGTGAGCCGCCCTCTGTGGATCCACCACCGTCCCATCCACACAAGCAAGCTGGACGTAGGCCTCCCGCAGGGTGGGATCCTCCCGCTGGTCACGGGGAAAGTCTGCCGAGTCCAGTGTAATCGGCACGTCCTCCATGTCTGAGCGCCCTGGGTCGGCCGGGCCAGATGCGTCGTGCTGGGTGGGGCCTTCCCGGTCGAGCGACCCCGGCGGTCGGTCTGCCTGGAGTTCCTCTCCTAGGAGTTCCACATGGGGCTCGGTCGGCGCTGGTGAGTCTGTAATGAGAGCTGTAAGACCTGGCCAGTCGCGACCCAGCACCATAGGGTATGGTAGGTGCGGCACCACGCCCACTCGCATCATTCGGGTGACTCCCCGCACACTCAAGGGGAGCCGGACCTGAGGATAGGTCTTCACATCCCCATGTACGCACCGCAGCTGCATCTCCCCGTCGGGCGCCGCGGTGTCAGGCAGTACATCGGGGCGGATAAGCGTCTGGCTGCATCCCGAGTCAAGGAGGGCAAACACCGCGGGGTCCCCCGCGGGGCCCCGCGTGGTCAGGGATGGGGAGCTAGCCGGTGGAGTCGGGGCAGGCCCCCTCC